GTGTAAATAGGTATTTGCACTTAGTGTAAATAGCATATTGCTAAAAATACTGCTATTTTCACTTAGTGTAAATAGAATCCATTGCTAATAGGAGATTTGAAAAGGGAGGGAGAAAAAGTTTCCCAAAAGGTGGGATCGAACCCGGGTCGATAGCGTCAAAAAGCCAACAACTCATGCTTATCCATCTGCACCACTGGAGCTGATGATTTACAGCCACTTTTAACTAAATGTAAATAGACACGCCATGTGAGTGCGGAAAACTTGGGTGTTGCCTGTACAACCCTTCCCTCGAATACACCCTGCCTTGGCCAGCCAGATGCTCCCAATTTCTCTCACTGATTTCACCATGAGTCATACAATCATTGTGCACAGGTGACAAGCGTGTGCATGCAGCGTCTACAGATACAGACATGTGACTGTTTACCATCCAAACTCAAGGGAGTTTCCTGCACGACTGGTTTTCTGTACTCTCTATTCTCATTCTCCATCCAAGAATACCAGCAGATAAAATTAACACACACACACACCACAAAAATATCCAAACATTCATAAAAGAAGATAAAAACTGTGTATAAGGATTAAGACTTTTTCAGAGAATATATCTTGAATTAAATGTATTCTCTTATCCTATTGGCAAAGTGCTGTTTTAAGTTTAAACCTCACTAAATTTAGCGTAAAACAGTACCAGTAACAAAAAATAAAAATAAGATGTATTTTCTTAAAAAAAAGTCTTATCTTATACATAAGTAAATGTGTCTTGTTTTAAGAACTTGCTGTTTTTTACTGAAAAAAAAAGTATTTTCTTCTGAAGTTTTAAATAAAAAAATATATATATTGGAGCACATTTTATAAGAAAAATATTTTAAAAATTACTTTAAAATGTCATATTTACAGTAAATATGATTTAATATTTAAATACCGTTTGTTTTGCTGTTTCTGTTGTAATTATGCAATTTACAAGTAATTTCTCAGAAATATTATTTCTTTTTTTATTATTTAACAATGCCAGTAAGAAAAATGTAAATAATTGAAGATATATTTTCTTTAAAAATCCTCATTATCTTACGTAATTTTGCTTCTCACATAAATGTATCTTGTTTTAAGAATTTTAAGATTTATTTATTGAAAAGCAAATAAAACATTTTATTTTATTTTATTACACTGTAATTCTTTTCAAGGATTATTGTAGTACATTTTATGCGAAAATACTATTTCAGTCTTGCTTTAAAATGTAACATTTAATTCATGGTGTTCCTTGCTGTTTCTATGTAATTAATTGTGAAATTTAATTCTGAGTGAAATTTTATTTCTTTTTTTCAGTGTACAAAATCCACTATATATCTAATCAAAATCGAGTCTATTTCTGTTTTCACATGAATGTTTCTAGAGAATGTTTGACCTGCAGTAAGCATCGTGGAATCTCTCTTTATTTCTCCTCTCTTTCAGTGTCTTTGTTCAGCAGTTGTGTCTGAGAAACAGATTTATGGCGGCTCAGACAGTGCTATTGAGAGCCTCTCTAAAGGGCCTCTGAAACACCCTTTGAATTTTCTTAGCTCTCATATTCTATTTCCAATCTGAGAGACCCCAAGGCCTTATTAACCTAGAAAGGCATATTTAATGCTGAAGTATTGTGCTCATTCTTAATGACATGATGATTTGGATTTATTTGATTGTATTTTTCAAATTGAGACAAGTCAGCAAAGTGAACAATTAAGTACGAGAAACTGAGTGAGAGTGAGTAAGTGAAAGAGACAGATCGGCAGAATAAACAGCTAAAGTTGTCTCGCCCAATCTCGTTTTTGTTCTCACTCTTTTCTTACACCTCCTTTAAAGCAAGCAGCCATTCCATGACTTCACCTTCCCTCAAAACGCTCTTTCCTTTCCACTGAAGTTGCGTCACAGAGTACATCGGGATATGTTTGGGAGTCTTATCGCAGCCAAATAAGTGTGTACATGAAACTCACATGCAAAACTATTGATCAAAACTAGTTCCAGAAATAATTTAGCATACAATCACACGTCCATTACAAATACAAGTCAATAGTAAAACTGTTTGCTGATTAGTTGTTTAGTTGGGCAAACCCTCAGACACGTTTCGGTTAAGCTGTTTTGAGTATGACCAACTTTTAATAAGCACATGTTAAGGTGTGAGCTTCGGAGGAATCAATTTATACTAAGTGTGATTCATATTAATTCTAAAGAAGAGCACCTCAAAGAGCATTGCTTCTGATCTGCTAATGAAGTTAATCTCTAGGCCAGCACAATAGCTTTTAGCAAAACTACATATGATTGCTCGGAGGTTTTTGTGTGATTTAACAATGAAAGATCTCAGAATAATTTTAGGATGTATTATTTCCATTAAACAAGCATAAAACTGGTGGTGTCAAAACATTCACGTGAGAGCATACAACATCACACTGTCAATGAGCAATAGAAGCATGCATATTTACAAAAGCGTATACCTTTTGTGTCACTTATGTGACTTTAATAGTGATACTATGTGTTTTTAAAGGTATTTTAGCATGTCAACAACAAAAATTTTCAGTATTATGTTTGCCCATCTTTCCCCATGAGGACACATTTTTGGCCTTTTGACCCAGACCTGTGTTTCCAACTTCTTGATTAGCAAATATGTGTATGTATACTGTGTGTTTATACATTTATTTAGGGTTTTATACATGCATACATAAACACATTAAAACCTTTATTAAAATTATGCAGAAACCCATAAATAAAAAACAACTATTTTTTGAACTTTTCAAAACAAGTACATTTTTCCTCTTCTATCACTTTATTTTATATTTTGTTCATTGTTTATTATGTATGTCTGTCAGTATAAGAAACAGTTAAAGCACTGAAATTTACCATTTGATTATTGAAAACGTGATATTTATAGAAATATCAGCATTAGATTCACCTTCTACTGAAAACATTACTGTGAAATCCTGAAATATAAAACTGTCAACCCTTTCACCTGTCACCTTTTAAAGCATAGCTATAGCCCAAGTTCCATCATATATTAAAATGTATTTATTTAGCTCAAGATGACACAATGCAATTTATTAACACTTGGAGACATTCTTTATCTTACATAATATTTAAAATGTTACAGATAACTAATTTAAATATTTATTTTTAATTTTATATTGATTAACTTTAATAGTATAATATATTAATATATTAATATAATAATAATAATAATACTTATTATTATTTATTTATTTTTTTAATGATCCAAGTTTTGTTACTCATAGAACACCACATAAAGGGTTAAGAATGGGTCTTGTGGATATATGTTAATACTACTGGGTGAGAACACTTGCCACCCCTTATGATACATGAAAGGTGTGGGAGAAACAATGAATAAGGAGTTAGTGTAAAGCGCTCTGGATCGATCTCATTCGCATTATCGCGCATCAAACAGCATCGGAACGCACTTCTCCCACAGCGGGACCTATTAAACTTTCCATAAGCAGCTGGTGACAGCAGCGGATCTCAGGTGACCAGGAAATAAATACCGTGTGTTCCTCCGACCATGGCCCGGCGTATCTCGCCTGCTGTCGCTTTTCTCTTTTGTTTTGGACTATCGGTAAGTTTGTCGTGTTTTTAAATATATCAGTCAATAGATATCCACGTTAACATAGCCTACTCCATTTTAGTCATTCTTCTGTATGACAAAGTATCGTTTTGTAAACCGAAACAATCTCTCATAAAACTGAAACTGCTTTTGTTTGCTTGTTTGGCAGCCTGTTTGTTTATAGCACTGTCGATGTGTAAAGCAACCACATTTATGTTTATAAAGTTAGTGTGAAAAAAAGCCTTGTATTGTCTTTAACTCTTAAAATGCCGGAGGGCAATCGCCTCAATTGTCCAACCCTTTACAGGAATTTACAATGGCAACTAAATGTAAAAAACATGGTAAAAATGTTACATTACGTGTTACATTTCTATCTATCAAATGGTGCATCTTTTTGGCCATCTATTAAACTTTTCACAATCATTTCTGTCAAAGTTGATTTTAGTTTTCAGAGATTCAGTTCTGTTTTTTTATTTAATCAGTGGTTAAGTTCAAAGCAGTGAATAAAATGCAAATAAATTCTCAGTGCTAAGACAACAATTTAGTTTTTAGTGGGTTATCTATCTATCTATCTATCTATCTATCTATTGTTTACAGTGTAGCCTGTAGGCTATAAGTTATTTATAAGTTATTATACATAATATTAAATATACAGTATTATAATAGGCTATTATATTATTGTTAATGATATTGTCAATCAGGAGATACATATTAATAATATATTCAAGTTTTTTTGTTTTCGTTTTTTACATTGGTCTGGAGATCCCTAGCTATCTTATTATGGTGTTATCATCGTAATTGTAGTATTTTGTTGGGAACTTTCACTGTTTACCATGGTGTATTTTCGTAAAGGTTATTTCAGAACAGGCTCTGTCTAGAATACCGACAGACAAACTACAGCAGTCAAGCTGGATCTGCAAGTGTTGTGTGAGAAAGTATAGCCTATTCTATTCAATTTCAGGTGTGTTGAAATCCCCGCCCCCTGCCACCTCAATGATTGACATTTCTCAATAATAATTCTTCAAATTCTAATGAAGATGAGTCACCGAGCAACAGTCGATTAAAATGGTTACTAAATGATTGTGATCTACTAAATGAGTGAAAATCACCTTACCTGGAATAGTTTACACTGGAGAATCTCAGTGAAGGAGTATTTTACTGCTTTTATCAGTATGTGCTGGGTAGATGTGCCAATAGCTCACAGTCTTGGTTGTTTTGGCTTTCGGTTTTAATATTTTTGCATACATTATACCCATACATGTTTCATACACAGAGTGCGTATGAGAAAGTGAATCACACATTTTATCACAGTTTTTAATACCTACTATTTCCACTTCACAAATGTAAAGGTTCTAGTTATTTATACGACGAGCATTGGGCCTTCAGTTTACGTAAAACAACCTAATGCATGTATCAAACCTTATGTAATTACCATACAAAATGTGAAATCTCCATGTATCTCTATAAACACTTGTAGAAGTACTGTGCAAAGTTTCTGTAGTTACAATTCAGAAATGCACAGTAGAAGAAAGTAAAGAAGCCACTTTACTAAGACATATTTGTGATAGTGCAAGGTTTTCTTTCTTTTCTCGACTCCTGTATAGGGATTTTTTCTGTGGTTGCAGATCTTTTCAGGTTTCACTTTCATTTCATTTCATATAAATTACAGCATCTGTTTAATTTTGTCTGTGTACAGACAGGATGAGCTTAGTGTCAACTATACTTGCATGCAAGTTGCAACCGCAGTTTCGATCATTTATAATGACTCACCAGTGAATCATTTACAAATCCTGCTAATGAGAACGTTCTCAACAGGCTGGGCAGCAACTATAAAAACAAATATTTCTTGGTCTCCTTTTTCTGCTGTGTGGGAAGGTTGGCAGGATAAGTCTGTCTTCACAAATTGTTGATGTGCATTTCTGTTTTCCCACAGCATGTGTTTGAGGTTGAAGCCAGATTCCAGCACTCTGTGGCCCTCCACAGGCAGAAGAGAGAATGGATCGTCCCTCCCCAAATCTTAGAGGAGAATGTGGATTACACCAAGAGAGAGTTCATTGCAAAAGTGAGTGAGACTTTTCCTGCGTCAAACACATTGATATGCAAACATCAACCTTAATGCACAATCAAAGTGTAAAAAAGAAAAGGCATCATCTTTTTCACCAGGGAGTTAAAAAGGGAAAAATAAAATCTCATGTAATTGCAATTTATAGTACAACTATAGGAATAGGCCTAGTTCACCCAAAAGTGAAAATTTACTTTAGATTTACTCACCCCTAGGCCATCCAAGATGAGTTTGTTTCTTTATCAGAACAGATTTGCAGGCAATTTAGCTTTAAGTCACTTGCTTGTCAATAGATCTTCTGCAGTGAATGGGTGCCATCAGAATGAGAGTCCAAACAGCTGATAACATCAAAATTATCCACAAGTAATCAACATGAATCCAATGAATTAATGGCTTGTGAAGCGAAAAGCAGTTTTTGTAATAAACAAATTTATCACAATGTTTTTAAACTTCAAGTCATCTCCATAATATTGCTTTCTCCATTAAAAAGTGGTCTCATCTGAATCAGGAGATAAATATGCACAGATCGAAACAGTTCTAATCAAATATATTGGTGGATTGATGTGAGAGGATAAGAGGGGATGGACTTTTCATTGAAGGAAACTGTCAATGAAAAACAAAAGGGGAAAAACAAAAACGAAAACAAAACTAAACTAAAAGGCAGGAGCTCAGAAAACGAGGAACTAGATAGCACAGAACTAAAGCAAAAAGGAAAAACCCTAATATCAAAAAGTATAAAATAAATGCAAAGGAGACTAGACTAGACTAGTGATGTTCGGTTCTTGAACGAATCGTTCTTTTGAGCCGGTTCTCAGGAAGTAACCGGTCGAACCGGTTCACAAATCGAACTGAATCGAACTTTAGTTCCGGGTAGTTGACGCAGGATGCACAGCCAAAGTAGCACGTCCAACTCAGAAAGAACCGATTGAGCCGGTTCAACCAACTGTCGAAGTTTGCCGAGGATTACCGAGGACTCAACAAGAACCGAATGAGCCGTGGCGAAGTTTGCCGAGGATTACCAAAGATTCTGATGAGTGAGTTGACGATGCTGTGCAAGCCTGAGGCGCGTACTGGAAATATGCTTATTATGACTGTTATTAATTTACATTTTTTAAAAACCTGCAAAAACCTTTCTGTTGAGTGATGTAAATACATTTTATGCATGCATATTATATTTAAAGTTGCTTAAGCGAAATCAAGGAGTTTATAAGACTGGTTTATTCATTCTTTATACTGTAGACATGTAGAACATATCCGCGTTTGTGCATCAATGTCTGTAATGTGTGCTGTAGGTGTGAAACTTTTAGGAATCTTATCCAAGTTGTAGGCTAGTCAATATTGGTTAGTCAGTCGTATCCGACATAAGGATCCGCGAATGAAACTGTGACCACAAACACGTACCATTAACTAAGTGAATTATATGGCAATAATCAGCAATATGCTTTCACACAAATGACTTTATTTTTTGAATGTTTCAATATGTGTTGACACAGATGACTTATTTGAAATTTTCATTGATACAACATGGCACTGACTTGGTAGAAAAGAAATGCGTAAAGACGTTATTTCTGGATGACGTCAGGAACCAATGAATCGGCTTTTTGAACCGGTTCAATGAGCCGATCTGTCAGAAAAGAACCGGTTCGCGGAAATGAATCGGACTTTGCATCACTAGACTAGACTAGACTAGACACAGTCAACAGAGACAAAAGCCAGGTTAACTCAGCAGAGCAGAGATTCAATCCGGCACAGGACCGAAAACAAGACGAGAATATAAAGGGAGACTAATGATCTAAAACAGGTGTTAACCCTAACAAGATAATCAGGTAACAAGAGGGGCGGGGTAACAATAGACAATAGAGCACATGACAAACACAAATACCAACTGACAGCCATGTGCTCCAGACAGACCAGGGGGGTATTCCAAAAAGCATGTTATGTGACATACCCGGGGTATGTTTGAGGATAAGCGAGCGGATAACCTCAGCTTTCGGGTCCAAAATCGGAGGTTACTTTCAGGGTATGTAAGTAACCATAGTAACTTGCTCTCTGAAGATATGTAATATGTAATATAGCCTATTATATTTATTTATATATATATATATATATATATATGATATGATATGATATGTTAATGATGAATGTGCTAATATAAGTAATAAATAAGTTAATATATTATTCTAATATGGTTATTATATTTATTTTATTGCCATATATAAGTTATCTGTATAAATTATAAAAACTATGACAAGTTAATGTTTAATTTATGATATTTTATTTATTTATTACATTTTATATTATCATCTCACACATGGATCGGCATTTTCTATAATGTCTAAATTCTAAATCAAAATACATATCTGATATGACTTCATATATAATTAGCATCAAGCAAGCAATATAATTTATATTCTCAAGGATTAAAGATTAAACGAAAAAAAAAATACAAATGATTGCACAACCATCATATGCACTAAGCATGTAAACGACCATTGAACAAAAGAAGAAAGAAGAAGAAAGAAACAGCATGGCACGCTTTTTCTTAGTGTCCGTTTCCATAGTGACTCGTCGATTCGTTGCTCTGTTGAGAATGTCTTGAGTCTTTTTTACAGTCTATGGTCTTAACCAGGAACATACTCTGAGTTGAATGAACTTACTCCGGGACGCGTTTTTGGAACCACATACATCGAGTAAGCAAGGTTTGGGGTTAATCAACCGAAAGTTCAGGGTTTAGCTGACGGTAAGTTTAACCGTGCTTTCTGGAATACACCCCTGGACACAACATAAACAAACCCAGATCAGACCGGTGTCTTGACAGAAGCGTTCTTATGGATTATCAATTATAGTATTTTAGCCAGAAGCAATGTTTAAAAGTAAAAACGCCTTAATGATGGATTTGTTTCTTACAAACAACAAACTTTTCACTTCACAATTCATTAACTGATGGACTGGAGTCATGTGGATTAGTTGTAGATTATTGTGATGTTTTTATGAGCTGTTTGAACTCTCACTCTGACGGCAACCATTCACTGCAGAGGATCCATTGGTAGGCAAGTGACATTAAAATTTGTACAAATCTCATCTTTGAGAGAGTAAATTTTCTGCAAGTTTTCATTTTTGGGTGAGCTGTTCTTTTAAATTTATGTTATGCATAGAAATTGCATAGAAATTATGCATAGAAATTACATGTAGAATATACACGAAAATTTAAACTTTAGCTTCTTGTAATTCAAACTTTGTATATAAAACTGATGTCTGCAATATCATTATTGCAAAAGTAGCTGATGAACTCACTACATCACATGTGTGACATACAGTGCAACAATATCATCAACTAATGTAAGCATTTGAGATTTACAATGCCTCATGTGTCAGGTCACTGTAGGCTTGATCGGTTTTTGTGTTAAATAAATGTGTTTCTGATTTATTTAGATTCGCTCAGATAAGGAAGACGTCAAACTGAAAAATGTGAGGTACTCACTGAAGGGCGTCGGTGCAGACCAGCAGCCGTTCAATTTATTTGTGGTGAATCCTGAAAATGGATATGTCAGGATAACGGGGCTCCTTGACAGAGAGTCCATCGCACAATACAATGTAAGTGAAATGGCTGTGATGACAATGATGATTCATGATGATGATGATGATGAAGGTGGCTTTAACACCTACACTTGATTATGATGGATGGTGATCTTGAATTTATTCCTCTGTAGCTTTCAGGCGTTGCTACTTTCACAGATGGCACGATTGCAGAAAATGACATTGGGCTGAGAATAAAAGTGAAGGATCAGAATGATAATCCGCCTGTTTTTGGTCCGATGAATCCCGGGGCTGTAGACGAGCTCAGTCCAGCAGGTATGTGATCTGCAGTTGTTACAGGTATATATATATATATATTTTAAAAAGTTGACGAAGTTTGTACAATAAACATAATGATGATTTTTATAATTATCAAATTCTGCATGTGGGTTATTGGTTCAAACCAACACTTTTTTTTTTTGTCCTGGAATTTATTATAAAAAATATAATAAATTATTTTATAAATAATAATATCTTCTTATTATTATTATTTAATAATATCGTATTATTATTTAACAGTAATTTAATAAGAAATTAATTAGGAAAAAAAAAATCAGCTGCACATTATATATTATGGATATTTGGTAATGTAAGGTTAGTTGTAAAATGTGGTGCAACTCCCCAAAAATGTAATGATATTTATGAATTAATAATTTAACAAAAAAAATCTTTAAATATACACTACAGTAGTTAAAAAAATTTGGGGTCTGTAAGATTTTTAAATGATTTTGAAAGAAGTTTCTTATGTTCACCAAAGCATTTATTTGATAAAAAATGTTGTATAAAAAGTAATATTATAAAAATATTATTACAATTTATTACAATATTATTACAAGAAATATTTCTTATTATTATCAATGTTGAAAACAGTTGTGCTGCGTAATATTTTTGTGGAAATGGTGATATATATATATTTTTTTTCAGGATTCTTTGATGAATAGAAAGTTCAAAAGAACAACATTTATTTGAAATAGAAATATTGATATATATTTTTTTTTTTTCAGGATTCTTTGATGAATAGAAAGTTCAAAAGAACAACATTTATTTGAAATAGAAATATTTAGTAAAACTGTAAATGTCTTTAATGTCACATTTGGTCAATTTAATGCATCTTTGCTGTTTAAAAGTATTCATACACAGTAGTGTATAATTAAAAACTATTTAAAAATAATGATAAAGGTGTTTACATTCACATGTATTCAAGGTCTGAGAAAATGTTATTACTTTGTACTTGAAGGTTACACCATTTGAAATGTATTACAGTATTAAAATGCTATTAAAAAGTTTTTTTTTTTTAACTTTAAGAAACCAACATAAATATAAAGAGTACATTTCTAAGAACTTAGAATCACATGTTTTAAAGTAGATTTTTTCGAAAGATTTTTTCCTTTCATTTATCGTGGGCACTCTTATTTGATACAGACACAGTAGTGATGAAGATTAATTGCTTTGATGCCGATGAGCCAGGAAACCCAAACTCTCAAATCAAGTATGAGATTGTTGAGCAGCAGCCAGCTGGGGAGAGGATGTTCAGAGTTGACAGTGACGGCACAGTCCGTGTTGTCAGTTCTAACCTGGATAGAGAGGTGAGAGGCCACCATCACTGTATCAAATGTGTTTCTGATATCTAACATGCTACATAACACACACACACACACACACACACACACACACAGCACTGGCTCTTCTTTAGTTACAGCACATATGAGCTTCATTGTGCCAGTGCTAAATGTTCTGTTATTGTTTAATTTTAAATGAGTAATGCAGGAACATATAAAGACACAATGACTGCTTTTGTTGAGCATAATGAGCAGTATGTAGACGATTGCACCTTTTTATTCACACGCCATCTCTCTCTTCAGACCGTTGATCAGTATGTCCTGCTTGTCAAAGCATCTGACCTGAATGGAGCTGCAGGTGGCAATGCCGCCACAGGGACGGTCACCATCAAGATCAATGACGTCAACGATAATGTGCCTGTGTTGGAAGGCCCAGTAAGAAAATATCTTCACTATGTTTAAATCCACACAGTTATGTTGTTGTACTGTAGTGGTCCCTTCCATTTTTGCAACCTCTTTTTTCTTTTTCCATAGTTTGAGGCCAGTATTGAGGAAAATACAGAGAAAGTAGAGGTGATGAGACTCAAAGCAAGTGACCGTGACCTTAAGGACACGGACAACTGGGTGTCTAAGTGCTTTATTGCATCAGGCAATGAGGCTGGATACTTCAGCATTCACACGGACCCAAAGACCAATGAGGCAGTCATTATGCTTGACAAGGTGTGCAATGATATTTGTTGCTTATTTCTTTCATAATTTCTGGTATGAGTAGGTTTTTTTATGATACCAAAATGTCAGTATTCATACCAATATTGCTCATATTTCACAATTCTAATTAACAATTTTGACACCACAGGAAAAACTTTAATTATTAATCATTCAAAATTAATTATTACTATAATAGCTAATTTTTCATATAAATATTAACATATTGAAATTATTTTTCAATTAAGTAAACAAATAATTATTTTAAGTAATTATTCAAGTAAGCAGTCGATAATAAAGGAATAACATGGCAGTTTCTCTTTTTCTTTTCAGTATTGTTGTTTGATTAACAAGACAGTAACTTTGTGAAATATTATTATACTTTAAAATAACTGTTTTCTATATGAATACATTCTCAAATGTAATTTATTCCTATTATGGCAAAGCTGAATTTTCAAGCAGCTGTTTGAAATAGAAATCTTGGAGCGTTATACACGTCTTTACTCTAACTTTTGATTAATTAAATGTGTCCTTGCTGAATAAAAGTGTTAATTAAAAAAAATACTGACCCCAAAATTTTGAATAGTAATATACTTTGATTTTTCATTAAAAAGGATTCTATTAACATTCATAGGAGACATAATATACTGTGTTTACATTAATACAAGATGGGCAGAAATGTGCATTTTTACCATCAAAAACATGTTAGTCAGACAGCACTCGGGTGATAAATGTCATGGGTACTTGGTTATACTGATACAGAAGAAAGGCTAGTATTGTTACAGTATCAACTTACTTTAAAAGTACTGGTACTTTTGACAGGGATAGTTATAGCATGGAGCTGTTCTGAAGCAGATTATACTCTCAGCCATTTGCTTGAAAAAATTATCTCATGTCTGTTTTCCCTGCAGGCTGTCGATTATGAGGATGTCAAAGACCTGAACCTTGGCATTGGTGTAATAAACAATGCTCCATTCCACCCCTCTGTGAGTGGAGGAGGACAAGGAATGAATATCAACTTCGGGGGCAGCGGTGGTGGCGCAGGAGGAGGCGGTGGCGGTGGCGGTGGTGGAGCTGGGGGTGGAGCTGGCGGTGGAGCTGGCGGTGGAGGTGGTGGCAGTTCAGGCGGTTCATGGTCAATGTCAGGGGGTCAGATATACAATGTGAACGTCAAGGTGAAAAACCAGCCTGAAGGACCCAAGTTCATGCCCCAAACAAAAGCCATCCCCATCTCAGAAGGCAAGACTTTTAGCAGCAATGAGGTCATCGCAAGATACCCCGCCATTGATACAGACACAGGAAAGGAAGCTACCAACGTAAAGTACGTATACATAGAAATAGTTCTGTCAACAATTAAGAGGAAGCGGCATAGAAAACAATGAGAACTGAGCTTGAGCTAACTATGTTCCCTTTTCTTACAGGTATGTTAAAGGATTTGACCCAGATAACTGGCTGACCATCGATGAGACAACTGGAGCCGTTAAAATGAACAAGGCTCCTGACCGCGAGTCCAAGTATCTAGTTAACGGGACTTACTATGCCCAGATTTACAGCATAACTCAAGGCAAGTTTTCTGCAGGGTTATTAACCAAAAACCTATCCTAAATAAAACATTAAAGGGATAGTTAACACAAAAATGAAAATTCTGTCATCATTTACTCACCCTCAAGTTGTTCCAAACCTGTAGAAGTTTGTTCTGTTGAACACAAAAGAAGATATTTTGAAGAACATTGCTAACCAATCAGTTGCTGGTAACCATTGACTTCCATAGTCTTTTCTTTCCATACAGTGGACGTCAATGGCTACCAGCAACTTTTTGGTTACCAACAATATAACTATAACTTAAATGTATTTTATTTTATTTCAGCTAGTTGCCAAGGCAACATTTCTCATTTTTATTTAGTTTAAGTACTAAAATAACTGAAACTAAAAACTATTTAAGACATTATTAAAAATAAATAAATAAATAAATTCAGTAAATAAATAAATAAAAATGACAAAAACATAACAAAATCACTAAGACATTAAAATCAAATTGAAAACATAAAATATAAAAATAAAATCTAATTCAAAATATTAACAAAAATATAATAGTATAAATCATACTAAAGTAACAGTGGTTCTAGGGAAAACGGAAAACTTTTCTTTGTTGAAGTCTTTTTTGTTTTATCCAACTGTTCTATTTTTTTCTAATTTTTTAACTGTTTCCAGATGTTGCCAGGTTATGGCTCCCTGCCATAATATATGATAATATACTTAATTAACTTATAGACCAATCATACTTCCAGTGTGCCACATAGTGTAATACAATGGATATTGCAGGTACATACCCTGTCCTGAAGATGGCGTCATCTTCACATTGATCAACAGTAGTTACTGAAAACTGGGGCAATGTTTGGATGCTTAACCATCTGCAAGTTATGATGTAAACAATTATTTGATTTAATTGATTTAATCCATTCGTTTACATTGCATTCTCTTTTTATATATTGTTCTTTCTTTTTAAATTTTTTTAGTACTTTTTAAAAACCTTTTAAGGGAAAGTAGACCGAAAGCTTTCTTTTAGTTTACTTTTCGACACGTTCGTTTTTATTATATATTACAGTATTACAACATTTGTCTCAAATTTATATTCATGTATTGAATGCAAAAAAATATTTTTTTTTATATATAAATATATATAAATATAATTTTTTATATTTTTAATATAATAATAATTTTTTTTTTTTATACGTTTTTCCTTTTCTCTTAATAGACTTGCCTTCAAAGACGGCAACAGGCACCATTGCCATCCAAGTAGAGGATTTTAATGACCACTGCCCAACTTTGACAAGCAAAGTCAATACACTCTGTACTGACAAGGATGCCGTCTTAGTCACTGCAGTGGATGAGGATGCACCTCCCAATGGAGCTCCTTTCACCTTCAATGTTGTCCCAGAAGGAACTAAGGGGAAATGGACAGTCGAGCATTTAAACGGTATGCCAGATGTTGCCAATTTATTTTTTGACCCACAACAATACTTCACTGACATAATATTTAAAAATTGCATTGACGTTAAATCTAATTTAAAATATTTCCATGAATATTTATAGAAAAATACTGCCGCAGTACCTCCTTGTGTCATTGGGGGATGTTGGCCCACATGTTAAAAGCTATCTATTGTAAGAAGTCAAACATGTGAAGTACTAGTCAGAGATCTGTTGTCGTTTCAAATCCGCAAGACCTTCGTTCATCTTCAGAACACAAATTAAGATATTTTTGATGAAATCCAAGAGCTTTCTGACCCTGCATAGACAGTAGCGCAACTACCATGTTCAAGGCCCAGAAAGGTAGTAAGAACATCGTTAAAATAGTATTTGTGACATCAGTGGCTCAACCGTAATTTTACGAAGCTATGAGAATACTTTTTGTGCAAAAAGAAAACAAAAATAACCACTTTATTCAAGGATTTCTTCTCTTCCATGTCAGTCTTTGTCGCGCATACACAAAACTACCACAACGCACACATGTGGTGCTGCTGACACACGAGTCGGCATTCTGCCGCTACTGACTTTGTGGTTGAGATCTTCTGTTTTTCTTCCTATCAGATACCACTGCCATCTTCAGAACAAATGAAAAGCTGTGGCCAGGAGAATATGAGCTGTTGGTGGACGTCAAGGACCAGCAGGGGTTGTCATGTCCAGAACCTCAGAAAATTCAGGTGGATGTGTGCACTTGTAACGACCAGGGAGCTTGTGCCCGAGCAGGACCAACAGGAGCATCAGGAGCATTTAAGAAGGGATCCAGGTTTGGACCAGCTGGAATCGGCCTGCTCTTCCTTGGACTCCTTTCATTATTGCGTAAGTTTGTTTAGTATCTTAAAGTCTACCATGTAAATCTGACTTTATTACATTTTCTAGACATTTAGTTAATTGCCTGGTTTCTATTTATGCCGCATTTAAAACTGAAGTATGCAGTTTCTGCAGAACTAGAGTCACTTAGTGGAATTACAAAAATAAAGCATATTAATAAAGCATATTTTCAAACAACCTTTGACCAGCAGATGTAAAGATTGACAGTAAAGAGCTAATGTGTGGCAAAAGCTTGAGTTTAGTTTACCTGTCGAGAAGAAACATTCCACCAATTCATTCCTTCATCTTATAAAAGCACCGATAATGTTTACCTTTGTCTGTCTCTTCGAATTTTGTCATGCACTTCTGAAACCAAATATGAATTCTTTTTTCCATGTGACACATAGTCCTACACTGGCTAAACGACAGTAGCCACACCCCAAACTCTCACTGCTCTTCATATTTTGATGGTGCCTGGGAGCTTCAATCTTTACACTTCTGTAAAATAAGAAATAAACCCATGAATGGCATACTAATAGTACAATGAATTGAGTTTAGAGATTGTGTTTTGACATAAAAAAACGGACACACTTCACCTTACTTTTGTCTGATTGTGCTCTCCTAACAACTATCATTATTCTGGAGAACACAAAAAAAGATATTATGATTGATAGTTATGATGTGAAATTAATTGCTGTATTTCTCCTCTGTTACAGTCATCCCACTCCTGTTGCTGCTGTGTCAGTGTGGAGCTACTGGGCTGGCGGGAGCTTTCACAGACATGCCCTTTGACACTAAAGAGCATCTCATCTCTTACCATACCGAGGGCCAGGGAGAGGACAGGGTAAGATCTTGAACTTCTGATTGAATTGCAATGTATGTTATCAGGAACAAAATCTGATTAAGATGTTAGTGTTATCTCAAAACTAAATAAATCAAACCCTTTTGTCTCTGATAGGATGTTCCACTCGATGTTGTTGAAGGAAGGTTAGGTTATGCATCAAGAGACGTGGGTGGCATGCGTATCATAAGAGCAGGAGGAGCAGGAGGAGCAGGAGGAGCAGGCTTCATGGACTCCTTTTCCACAATGGGTGGCCGTGGCAACAATGAAATGGTAATGTCCTACATGGACTCGAACAGAAGAAGTGAGACTCTTAGAAGTAGAGGAATGGCTGGAGATTTTGACGGAATGGCCGTGTCTGATATGTTCCTGGGCGAATACTACTCACAGGTTAGTATATACCTACAGGACAGTGTATATAAAGTTAATTTATTATGTTTATTTAGTGTGATTAATTATACAACTATCTATCTATCTATCTATCTATCTATCTATCTGTCTATCGTTCTGTCTATCATTCTATCTATCATTTTGTCATTCTGTAATTTTATTCATCTACAGTTCTATATATCTATTGTTCTATTAATATTCTGTCAATCTATTGTTTTATCATTCAATCATTTTATCATTCTATCTGTCTAATGTTCTATCATTGTATCATTTAGCATTATGTTATCTATCTATCTATCTATCTATCTATCTATCTAATTTTAATAGATATTGTTCAATTGATAATTAAATCATTTTTTTCATTATATCTTTGTATCTACTGTTCTATCATTTCATCATTCTATCTATCAGTTCATTGTTCAGTCTATCACTCTATCATTATCATACTATTATTATATTGCTGTATTGTATTATCTATGTGGATCACATTTATATATATTTATATATATATATATATTACTCTATGTGTGTTACAGAAAAGCCGTGGAATGGAGGATGGATTTGCTAAGAATGAGCCTATGGTGTATGATTTTGAAGGGAAGGGCTCTCCTGTGGGCTCTGTGGGCTGCTGCAGCATCCTCGAAGATAACAATGACCTAGAGTTTCTCAGTGACCTCGGGCCCAAGTTCACTACTCTCGCTGAAATATGTGGAGGTAAAAAGACTGAGGTCCCTGCTCCTCTTCCTCTTCCTCTTCCTCTTCCTCTTCCTCCCCCTCCCAAACCCATCGTGGACCGTACCGAGGTGGTGTCTTCATCAACCAACGTTATAAATCCTGGGAATATTACCACTAACAGAGCTATATCTTCAAACGCATTGAATATAGCTTCCAACATGGCTACGACATCATCTACTCGTGTGGAGAACGTCATGGTCACAGACAACCGGCCCACAGTGATTACGAGTGTCCAACCGGCTCCAACGCTCCTGGTGCAACCGCAGCCAATGTACTACATGGTGGAGCCGCAGCCCAGCACAGTACTGCTCGCCGAAAGGCCGGCCATGGGACAGAACATGTACGTGCTGAACAGAGGCCCGGTAGCCGAGGGTGTTGTAGTCCAGGGCGCAAACATAGCGACGAATACCCTGACCCGTGGCGAGAGAATGGTGCTTGTGGACAGGGGGGCACCTGCTCAGGCTGGGGTGCTGCACACAAGTAATCTGTCTGGATCACAATTGCTCCTGGTGGATGGGGGAGCCATGAGCGGTCAAGTCCTTCAGGGGACGCTTCAGAGAGGGGTTGCTGGATCTCAGGGCCTGATGGTCGTGGAAGGACAAGGGGGTCATGTGATTCAGGGGTCCCTCAAAAAAGGTGTTTCCACTCATGGTGGATCTCAAAATGTCCTTTATATGGAGAGCAATGGGGGATCAGGTGTGGGTGTTCAAAAGGGGATGATGTCCACCGCAGGGTCATTCGGTAGCATCGGATTAGGTGGGTCATCTGTCCAGATTAACCAAAACCCATCGTCACATAAAGTCGTTGTCCAGGAGAGAAAGGTTGTGACAACACAAAGTGTCAAGTAATAATGCAACACTCATTCAGTACTTGTACAGTCGTAAAAGTGTTAGAGGGTTTAGAAAGTCATCAATCAAGTCTTCAGAGCTCATGCATGCAAATCATTAGAGTTTCATGTTGTTACCATGTTAGGTCACATAGAATATGCAAATAATGCTTGAAAAACTGGTTTTTAATGCACTTGAGGTTTACTTCTCTGTAAGTGTAGTGCACTATACTTGATTTTATTTTCCTTTCATTTTTTTCCCTTGCCTATAGATTATATGTTACTGTACGTGTGCATTCAGTGTGTGCTCTGTAAAGACTGTTGTTTGTGGAAAATATGCACAAGTTACCCTGAGGCCATTCCTGTGCAGTTTATGCAAATCAGCTGAAAGCTATTTTAGATAAGTGCAGATATATAAGAACATAAACACAGCCAGAAATCAGTTGAGTAGAGTCGATTAAAAAGACTATAGAAGGACAGATGTTTTTTTTTTTTTTGTTTTTAGAAAAGCACAGTGCTGTAAAAGACAATTCATGAATCAGTTGTGGTAATGTATATTTTGGGTAGCTGTTTATAAAAATTACCAGTGTGTTTCATTAACCAGCACTGGTATGGTTTGCATTTTTACAGTATTTTTCATTCCTCTTCTTAGTTACTGTTTGTAAACAAGTAGGAAGTCTGATTAGTAAGTCTGTGTTTAGAAGCTTGTGGTTTCTCTTTGCAGTGTGGTTAAATAAAAAGACCAAACCCACATTCCAAGCAATAATGATCATATGTATGAAATGAATATGTACAAATTTATTATTTTTTCTCTCAAAATGCTTGTATTTAAGAATACAGTAGCTAAAGCACATTTCTTTTGTTTAGTCTTTTGAATTTAATGGTAAACACTAAAAAAACAAAACAAAACAAAAAAGACTTGGTGCTGGGATTTTTCTATTCACAGCTCTGGTTTGGTACAAAAATTGTTTTTTGAAGGGGTGGGCAGTGGTTTCCAACTTTCCTAGAAATGGACTCATTAGCTACTTGGTGGGAAAGTGTGTTACTAGTTTTCACAGAGAAACTTTTTTCAGGGGTCAATATTTTAAAGCAGCTTAAGGCTGTTTAGAACTTCTTTTTTAATGCTGATTTTATAAATGTTTCATATGTTTCACTGTGGAACAGAATTCCAAAAGACAATAAAAAGTCATTTTAATGTCATCCATTGTGTAAAACTGTGTCTATGGGCAAGTGTCAACAAAAACTGGAATCTGTAAAGTAGTAATTCAAGGGAGGCAGTCATTCCTCTAGCAATTTCACAAGTTCAGTTTCAGACAAAGAAATTGGCAAGAACAACCCACAGTGCTCTGGAATACGATTCTATAATGAACTGAACATAGCCAGCAGTGTTGGGGTAATGCCTTACAAGTAACGCGAGTTAAGTAATCAGATTACTTTTTTTAAGTAACTTGAAAAGTAACGCATTACTTTTTAATTTAGAAGGAAATATCTGAGTTACTTTTTCAAATAAATAACGCCAGTTACTTTGTTTCCCATGTCTTGCCTGCCAGCTCTCGTGTTGCCATGTTGAGAGAAATCGGGAGTAAGTGCAGAGGATGTGTGCGCTGTGTGAACATGATATTACTGTAGTTCTAGACTAAATATGAACATGTATTTACTCATCTCACCTGCACAAAAATAGATTCAGTATTCCTCAAAATGCAAACTCAGAATATTATACAAACCTGCAATAATTAAATATGTTAAATAGACAACTTACAACTTACAAATATCACTTACTGTATGTATTTAATCCCATTTTATTAACCAATGTCTTGGCTTCGGACCTTCGATGATCCAATTTAACCATATTAATAAGCATAAATGACACATTTGTGTTTCAGTTTTGTTATTGCTGAATAGTGTTGAATTTTCTTCTCATTCTACATTTGTAAAAGAAGAGCTTTTTATATTAAAAACAAACAAGCAAGCACTGCCCAGATTTAAAAAGTAACTCAAAAGTAACGTAACACTTACTTTCCATAAAAAGTAACTTAGTAACGTAATTAGTTACTTTTTCAGGGAATAACGCAATATTGTAATGCATTACTTTTAAAAGTAACTTTCCCCATCACTGATAACAAGACTAGTTGTTAAAAATAATATAGACATACTGAAATGTGGGACACTGCTTATGACTTGCAGGACGCTGAATCAAGCTACCAATTTGCGAGACTGTCCCGCATTTTGGTCACTGTACCTGTCCCCAAACACTAGTATTCCACTTGAATATCCTATTTTTTTTCCAAACAAGCCTACTGCATTTTAAAATACTTTTAGGAACTGCCACTCAAAAAATCTCAAATAAATCTTATCCTGACTCAGAATTGTGAGATATACAGTCAGAACTGTGAAATAATAAACTTAGAAGTCTGAGAAAAAAAGTCTGAATTGTGAGATACAAACGTCTCGGTTACGTATGTAACCCTCGTTCCCTGAAGAAGGGAATGGAGACGTCACGTCGGTAATGACCGATGAATTGGAATCTCGCTCAGAGAGACCAATCCACTTCACGTGTAAACTAAACGTGCCAATGCACATTGGCATGCGATGATTGCATCCTGCTGCCGCTGATCGCAGCGCGAGTATAACTAGGCAGCAGGTGCAACGCATACTCAGGTTTTCGCTGAGGAGCCCGGTGACCCAGCCGCTCAGCGGTGGTACAGCAGCTGTGCCGACGGTACGTGACGTCTCCCTTCCCTCGACGTCACGTCGGTAATGACTGACGAATTGGGATCCCTACCAAAACGCCATGGATGCTGCCCCTTCCAGTGTCCTATGCCAGTGAGTCCTGTGTGTTGGAACAGGAATGTTACGGAAGCCCCATCCTTCCCGAAGGAGGTTTCGGAAGCACTTACACATATGGAAACCCGTTTAGGTGCATATGGAAGATTTAGAGGTGATTGCAACCCTCTTGGGAAATGGCAAAAGTCTGCCGGCGAAACATGGGCTCTGAGCTATACCGTGGAATTTACACTGACTTTACACAGCATCTGTGCGAGAAGGCTCACTGGGGGAAACTCATATTTGCGCAGTCCCCGCGGCCAGCTGTGTGCCAGTGTGTCCGTGCCAAGTGTTCCCTCAGTCAGGGAGTAGAACAGCTGGTAATGAGAGGTTTCTGGAGAGGCAAACAGGTCTACCTGAGCAGCTCTGAA